ATTGTAAGAGCTTCCCCCTGAGTCTGTGTTCAGATCCTATTTCACTTTTGTAAAATGTTCTTTGCAGACATAAATTAAGGCAACTCCTTTTATGAACAATGAGTGAGGGTATGAATACTTATGAGTCCATTTACAATTTGCCTATTCTTCACCAGATTTGTACAAAGAGAAAAAGGTTACATATGCAGGGAACAATCTGGGCCTGGTCAGTATTCCTCGTGAATGAAGTTTGTAACAGGATGTTTTAATATATTTATACCCAAAAGGGAGACGAGAAGAGAAATTCATTCATTAATCCACTGAGTTATCTTCATTATTACATTGTGTCCTATCATCAGTTTTCCCGGATTCTAGTTAAAATCCCATTTCTATTTCAACCGAAGTATGGGTGGGGAAGAGGAATATTCTCCTAAAGAACAAAAAGAAAAAAAGACTACTTTGTCACCAATAGTTTTGAATGGACAATTTAATTTTTGTAAAAAATATTTTCCAAGTATATTCGGAAGAAGGATTAGTCAGCTAAGAAAAACAAAGCGGACAGAATCACAGGGTGCAGGAAAGAGATACACGCCAAATGCTGAGCTGTAATGTAAGTCTTGCAATGAAAAAATATAAACTCATAGTTACGAACTCTAGACCAAGTTTGAAAATGTGAGTTCTGTTATAGCAGGCACCAGAGAGCACTAATTCTAATTGCAAAACTGTTAGCATCTTAACTGTGTGTTTTTACACATTTATGCATTTCACTATTTCATTTCACACACTCGGACATTTCTCAAACATTTCTCCTTGGATCTGAAATCTTCTGTGCTTCCTCTCTGACTGATTTTGAATACTGGGAGAGTACAAAGACTGAAATGTGCAATGTGGCACTGAGTGTGACATAGTGAAGAGACTTCATGGCTGAAAATCCCCCACCCTCGTCTTTTCCAGATTGTTTGCACTACCCTGGACAACAACAAGATCATTCTGAACATTGATAACAGCAGAATGACAGCTGATGACTTCAGACTGAAGTGAGTACCTCTCTGTACCAGTCAAACCCTGTCATTCTCCTCCTGTTCCCTCACATCCTATTTACAAATTGACAAACGAAGAAATCACCCAACCAAGAATTACTTATCCTATTCCCAAATTAAGATATCTCCTAATGGGGGGGTTACTGGAATTTTCAAATCGGGACAGGTGGTCTTTTTGTGAGATTTTATTATTGTTAATTATTTATAATATCATGGCACCTATGAGCCACGTTATGGACCATTGTGCTAGGCACTGTACAAACACAGAACAAAATGACACTCACCACCCCCAAAGAGCCGACAATCCCATTAGAAGACAAAAGACAACAATGGATACAGACAGACCAATGCGGGAGTACTCGGGAACAATGACACATAATTGGTGGTCTCAGATTTTGAGATGTGCCTTCGGTCTTTGGCTCCAGAGGTGCCAGAATAGGGGCATTTCCAGGACAGAGTGTTTGAGGCAACAAAGAGTTTGCTTGTGGGGTTTAGGGGGCTAAAATATAGGGACAATGGATGTATGTTGGTATGAGCCCATTGAAGGCAATGGAGCTATGCACGTTTATACCAACTGAGAGTCTGGCCCACGGATTTTTTAATAAAGAAAAGAGTTTAGATTATTTCCCAGGGGAAGTGCAGAAAAATTAGCGTGGGACATCTCTGTAGTAGTTCCAGTAGAGAGGAGAGGGGCAAGAAAAGCTGAAGAAGGTCCTTTATGAACCAAACATCACATCCCTGCCTTTGAACACACAGATAGACTAGGCAGCAGACGCAGTGTGTTATACTTTAAGCACAGCTCTGAAGGTAAAGCTGAAAGAAGGGGAACCCAGACCCATTCCTAACCAAAGTGCAGATGCCAGGAACCCTCAATGGTGGGCTCAGCCATGGGCTGACTTTTCTGTCTTTCTTGTCCACGGCTTAGGTTTGAGACTGAGCTGGCCCTTCGCCAGAGTGTGGAGGCCGATATTAATGGCTTACGCCACGTTCTGGACGAACTGACCCTGTGCAGGTCTGACCTGGAGGCGCAGCTTGAGTGCCTGAAGGAAGAGCTGTGTTGTCTGAGGAAGAACCATGAGGAGGTAGGAGCTCATTCCCGTATATAAAAAAAATAATTTTGTACATTACTTTCTACATCAGTGGGGACCTGATCCTGATTAAAACACCGGGGCATGAGTGCAACTATGATCAAGAGAATATTAATAATAATCTGCATTATTATGATATTGCTCCTTTCACAAACCCTGTTGCCTAATCATATTCAATATAAAGAGGGTGGATCCTGTGCTGGAGTAATTGTCACAAGCAGCTCAAGAACTCAGGTCCAGCCCTCTAAGGTTTGGGAGCATGTAGGAGTTGAGTCTTAGGAAGGAATGTCAAGCTTCTGGGAGCTCCTGGGCTCTGCAAAAGGGGAAGGGGAGAGAGCTACCTCAGACACTAGAAGTGAGTTGGATAAATCTTCCAGCTGATTTGTCACAGGGTGATTACTTAACTTAACTTACTTAATTTAACTCAAAACACTTCATAACCAATTAATTAGTATTAACATCATCCCTGTGATGCTAGTATTCTCTCTCTTGCGAAACCAAGATTTCTAAGGAATGGCTAAGAGAAGTGTCTTGCCCAAGATCACTTGGAAACTTAGTAGCAGATCCAGGAACAGTAGGTCAGGAGCTCTAAGCACTGAACCAAGCTCCCTTCTCTTAAAATGTAAATATGAAAGGAAAAAATACGAAGAGAGCCAATATATTGTGACTCAACTAAGATAAGGAATGACTTCTTTGACAAAAAGAGGTCAAGAGAGCCTGCAACACTAGTCCAAACCCATTCAGGAAAACGAGTGACTTTCATTCATCAAATTTAATTCTCATAGAATCATAGAATCTCAGGGTTGGAAGGGACCTCAGGAGGTCATCTAGTCCAACCCCCTGCTCAAAGCAGGACCAATCCCCAACTAAATT